GAATCAAGAAAAAAATTACAATAATATAGTCATCCATATTGCCACTACACGTATATTTGACACAAAAAACATTTACAATGATATAGTCATTCACAATGCCACAAATAAAATTTACAATGATATAGTGGGCACAATCCCAACTCAATTGAAATGATCACAAATAGTAGTACATCTCAATTATAAATATGCAAGATAATATAATAAAAAATGCAAGCTCCAAACATGGCTACTACTCAATTATCAAGAAAATACATTTTTTGCATTAAAAATTTAATAATAAACTTAAAAAATGCAAGATAATATAATTATCATACATGCCACAATATTTTTACAATGATATTTACTTTAATTCCTCATGATAATATAGTTTAACAACATGTATTTTTTGCATTAAAAATTTAAAAAATTAAAAATACATTTTTAATGCAAAACTGCATTAAAAATATAATACAGTTTAACAACATGTATTTGTTAATGTATTTTTTTGCATTAACAACAATTAAAAAAGAGACTTTTGAATTAAAAATATAATAACATGTATTTTTTTGCATAAATAATCTATCAACATGCAATTTTTTGAACTAAAAATTTAACAATAAAAATTAAAAATATCGTTTAATTCCTCATGATAATAAAAAACAGGACACAATTTTTTGAAAAGTCACGAATTTTCCAAAAAATTGATCATGAATTAAAAAAAAAAAATGCAGTTCTTAACAGACCCACCTAACATCAGTCATTCCAACTCAAAAATCTACCTCAAATGGAATAAATTACATCAAATTGAATACATTTTTTGATAAACAACACTATAAGGAATCAAAGCCCTATAATATTAACACATTATTATCAAAATATTAAATAAAATCGATTGAAGTGAGGGGAAAAAAAAAAAACGCAGTTCTTCACAGACATCAGTCATTCAATCTAAAAAATCAAGCTCAAATTGAATAAATCAGATCAAATTGAATACATGCGATGATAAACAACACTATAACAAATCAAAACCCTATAAATTTAACACATTATTTGCAAAATATTGAGTAAAATTGATAGAATGGCGGAAAAAAAAAAAAAACCGCAGTCCATTTTTTCTTCACAGACATCAGTCTTTTTTTCTCAAAAATCAAGCTCAAACTGAATAAATAAAATAAAATTGAATACATGTGATGATAAACAACTATAACGAATCAAAACCTATAAATTTTACACATTATTTGTAAAATATTGAGTGAAATTGATAGAATGGCGGAAAAAAAAAAAAACCGACAGTCCATTTTTTCTTCACAGACTTCAGTCTTTTTTTCTCAAAAATCAAGCTCAAACTGAATAAATAAAATAAAATTGATTACATGTGATGATAAACAACTATAACGAATCAAAACCTTATAAATTTTACACATTATTTGTAAAATATTGAGTGAAATTGATAGAATGGCGGAAAAAAAAAAAAAATGCAGTCCATTTTTTCATCACAGACTTCAGTCTTTTTTTCTAAAAAATCAAGCTCAAATTGAATAAATAGAATCAAATTAATTATGTGAGGATAAACAAATCTATAACCAATCAAAAGCCTATAAATTTAACGTATTATTTGCAAAACATTGAGTGAATTTGATAGAATGGCGGAAAAAGAAAAAAAAAACGCAGTTCTTACCTGTTTTTCGTGCAGCAGTGGTTTCAAATTCAAATTTGATATATATTCGTCCAAAATACTCACAAATTATGAACAAAAACTTCTGAACAACGCTCTTACGATCAATAACCCTCATATTTTATAAAAAGTAATGCCTTCTTTTGCTTGAAATCAAAGAAATGGCGGAACCCTAAAACTTTTTTAGGGTTCTTCTCAGATCCAAATTTTTTTGATCAAAATCGGTGATTTTTACTACCTTTTATCGACTGAAATGACTGAAAAATTAAAAATAAAGCCTGCAAGATTCGATTATAAAGATGAAAAATGATAAGAAAATGACAAAAAACTATGAAAATCGTGAAGAAACACTGTGCAGCCCGCGTTCTTGGACGGGTCACTGTTGAGACTCGGCGATTCACTATTAGGAATCTCCCGGTTCTCTCTAGACATGGGCGATTCCCGGTATTGTAGTGGAACCGGTACGGGGTCTGCCGATTCCCGAGTCGAACCAGGCGAGTCCGGTTCGACTCGCTGAGTTTTCAAACCCTGACCCCTACAATTGCCTTCTTTATCACATTAAGTATGTCTTTTACTTCCCTCGTGAAATTCTCACACAAATGATGCTCACAGAAGTCATGATCGGCATTCTCAAAAACTCGACAGACATTTTCAACCATACCATGATGTCTATTTGATTCAAAAGCGATTGATCGATCTATTCCAATAGCAAGCTTTAGACATTCCAAAAACCACAACCAATTATCACCATTTTTGGCATCCACAACAATAAAAGCAACTGAAAACATTTGGCCTTGCCCATCAACTGAGGTGGTAGCAAGTAGATTACCTCGATATCCCACCTTCAAGTACGTCCCATGAATAAAAAGAAGTGGACGATATCCATTAAGCCACATATTGAGGCATAAAAGCTTAATAAAAGATGATAAAATCTACCATCTTCAAATACCTCTCTGGATGTATAACTTTTAGGATTTGTCTCCAACACATGCTTTATACATGCATGTAGCTAATTGTATGCATGTTCCTCTGAACCATGTATTTCTTTGATGGCTACTTCCTTCCCTCTCCACACCCTATGATACAACACATCTAATCTATAGTCTTGAGCCAAATCATTCATCATTTTTTTAACCTTGTAATGTTTAGTGTCACTTAATTTATCGTTGATTAGAGAAGCAATAAAGTTCTCGAAGCTCTTTCTGCACGTTATTGCTTGTCCCAATATTACACGAGTGCTCTTTTGTCCATGACTTCATTTTCAACATATTTGTCCTGCCAACCTTGTATCTATATATCTCCATTAGCAGTGATCACTCTTACATTTTGCTCTTACACGATACCCTTCATTTTTAATGAAACGGTATGCAAAGCGGTGTGCTATAACGTATTTGCCAAGAGATTCACCAAAGGCATCAAGTGATTGAAACTCGTGCCCTATCTCAATTAGTGCATCCTCCCATTAACTCAGTAACCTTGGTGCAATACTTTGTTTAGCACTATAATCTGGAACATTAGATGATTGGAGGTTTGTGTCCTCTTGAATTACCCTAATATATTTATAAATGCACAAATGAGAAATTCAATGTAACTAAAGCAAATATATGTAACTAAATAAATTGAATGAAACAAAAACCTATATGTACCTTGTGTTAGGATTATGTGAAGTACTTACAATCCCTACATTCACTTCCATCACATACATAAATAAGTACATCATTGCTACCTTCATGTGTATTCAACATCTTCTCAATATCAACATCAATAAAAAAGTTCACAACAATTCTCTTATTCCCCGAGACAAAATACATACATGTTATCTTGTACACATCAATTAAGAAACGCTTTGCACAATATTGGTGCATGTCATCTAACCAAGTTTTACTATTAGCAAAATAAGTACAAGCATCACCACTAATGTAATCTAAAGTGCCCTTGCCCATTTTCCAAAATTCTCCACCCTGGATGCAATAAATCAATCGGTCATCACCCATTTTTTCCCTCCTGTAAAAAATTCGTAACAACTTCGATTCCACACTTTACATATATAACATTGCAACACGGCCTCGAACATCTAAGAAGACAAGCTTGGTAGTGCCTAGGCTTGGTAAGCTTGGCTTGTGTTAAAGCTTTGTGGTTGAAGCTCAAGTCAAATGCAAGCTCCAATTCTATATTGTTTAATTTCGAACTACACTTCGGATTCTTTGAATTGACTAAAGTCCAATTCTTTGATTAAAGGAATCTTATCTCATTGAAATACCATGAAGCCCAACAAAATGTTCTATATATCACCAATTAACAACAATAAAATATAGAGAATGGTTAACAATACCAATAAGATTAAGATTTTTGGTCACACTTCGTACCAGGTTTAGATTAAAACACATAATGAATTCTTGTACAAGTGGCATACTTCTATGCCTTCCCTAACATTTAGATTTCAAGTTTAAACACTATGGATCACATACAAACATCACTAAGAGTCTAAGAACCAAAAATCCATGATTAATCCCAACAACTCCAGCAAAATAAAAGTATAAGTATTATTAATCTGTACTTTCTTGGCACAATAATTTGCTAGTGTTGCTCTTCATATTAAGAGTTCATCAGAATAAATAAGGTAGGGTCCCTGAGTCAAGATTATACCTAAGCATGATTTTCCAAAAAAAAAAAATCAAAGGGAGGGGGGGGGGGGTTTGGGGGGGCTAAGCATTAAGCATGTTACAGTGAGATCCAAGGTATATAGAACTGAAATACCACTAACGCAAGAAAGGTCTGAACTAATTTATTAGTTGCTATGTAAAAAGAAATTACTGAAATACCACTAAGGCAAGGAAGGTATGAATTACTCTATCAATTGCTATGTGAAAAAAAACTGATAAAATAAAACAATAAATTAGAGTACCACAGGGCTAGAAAACTGAAATAAAAAGAAACGGGAAAAAAAAGAAAAACTAAGAAGCAAAACCAAATAAAGGAAACATGAATTAAGTGCAGTAATTCACAAGATAAGGGAAAATATTAAGAACGATATTTTGGTCCCAAAATGTATTGACTATATTTGGCTGGGATTAAATACAAAAAAAGGTGATACTAGGGTTTTATAGTATAATACAAAAAGATAATGAGAGGATAGGATGTGTAGACAGTTGATTAAGAAGTATCTATGATTTTCCCTAAAATTATCCCCATTAGGTCTTCCACGCGAGGGAGTAAGTGTACACAGCGATCGCGCGGGGGCATGTAATGCGCGCCCTTTCCGAAACCCTAAACGCCTCTAAACCCTAATTCCAAACGGACTTCAACCTCCAAATCTCATCCGAACAGCCAAATATAAACCCTATGCTCATCACTGTCAATTTCCCCCATCCTGCAAACCAGCATAAACAAACAATCCCAATCCTTCCTCTCTCTCTCTCGCTTTACCTCCAATCTCCCATCTCCTGCCTCTCTCGGACCACCACCTTCACCAGCCATGGGCCGCGTGCGCACCAAGACAGTAAAGAAGTCCTCTCGGCTGGTGATCGAGCGTTATTACTCCCGCATGACCTTGGACTTCCATACAAACAAGAAAATACTGGAAGAGGTTGCCATTATCCCCTCCAAGCGCCTGCGCAACAAGATCGCCGGCTTCTCCACCCATCTCATGAAGCGCATCCAGAGGGGCCCAGTTCGCGGCATCTCCCTCAAACTCCAGGAGGAGGAGAGAGAGAGGCGCATGGACTTTGTGCCAGATGAGTCGGCCATTAAAACCGATGTTATTGAGGTCGACAAGGAGACTATGGACATGCTTGCCGCTCTTGGGATGCCTGATCTGCCTGGTGTGGTGAAGCAGTCTGAGCCTGCCCTGTCTGCCCCCTATGCCAAGCCCGTTGGTGCAGGTGGATTTGGTGGTGGTCGCAGGTACTAGGGATTCGAATTGTAGTCATATTGAGGTATTGCCCTCCTCTTTCTCTGTTTTTTCTCACATTCTATATCTATACTTCCTTGTCATTCTTCTCTTCGCTCTGTTCCTCCCTTTCTTACTATTCCTCTTTTCAGCCCCTCTCTTCCTTAGCCTGTCCCTCTTTTTCTATCTCTTCCTGTTCCTTGCTTTTACACTCTTTCTCTAATCTGTATCTTCTGATTTTTTTTTTTTTGCATTTGGCTATGTAGGGATTTTGCTAAGTTTAAAGTTTGGAGCGTATTTGATGGAGATAGATTACATGTGGATTTGGATTGGACTTGAGATGCCGTATGCTAAATGTTACGTTTTTTAATGTAATTTACACTTTTGGGGGGATGAGGGGGACTAAGGGCTTTGTTGATGATGGAGGGTTTGGACTTACTTCGTTACTTATGAAAAGTTTGTTTGACTCAAGAATTGTGGGTTATCTGTGAGAAGTTTGTTTTGAACTCCAGAATTTTGAAAGTATTACATTATGAACCTAGATTTCTTTAGTTAGTTTAAAGTGTTACATAATTAAGCTAGATTTCTTTTGTTGGTTTTGTGGTGTTTATTGTTTTTACTTTCTTTCTTCATGCTGGTGAGTTTTTACAGTGACTTGAAAGATGGAGATTTAAATTAAATGGGGATTTTGTTACTTTATTCATGAATTTTACTGATTAGGGATGGTGATGAATTAATATTCGGAAAATGCAGCCACAATTTAAAAATTGTGTAATGTAGTTGTGAACTTGCTTGCTTCTCTTGCCTGGCAGCGTATTTATCTGATTGCATGGTTTGAGGTTCCTATGTTTGTTCTGATATTATCACTTTATCAGAGTGAAAGGGAGCTCTTATGTTATATATATGGTTTGATGTGTGATTCTTTTTCATCATGGAGAATAAGTGCATTCAAAGTTTATAATTTGGTTTTGAAATACTGTTTTATGAATTCAATTTTCCTGTTTTTGTTGATGTTTGCAAATTTTGTGATTGTTGTGATTTGCTTTGTTGATGTTTGCAAATTTCGTGATTGTTGTGATTTGCATAGTTTTGGACAGTGATTTAAAAATCGGTGAGTCGCAACGGACTCGCCTGAGTCGGTACGGGAATCGGTGAGCCCGTGCCGATTTTTGTGTAAAACCGGGAATTGCCCGGTTGGAAATTGCCCGGTTCTAGAGTAGAATCGCCGGTTCTGAGCAGTGAACCGCCCTCATGACGTCATAAACCAGCGGTTCTCGCCAGTATGACGTCACAAGATCTGTTGTGGCTGACGTCACCATGCTCCGCGCATGTGAATACGTCTCACATGTGTCGCACGTGTGAATACATCTCGTGTGCATTGCGCATGTGCAAAAATCTTATGTGCACCGCATGTGGTTCCCATCCCAGCATATCGTTTGGAAGAGCTGATGGTTCAATTGTTTATATACCCAAGGTTTGTCCCACCTCTCTTCAATGTGGGGCAATTCTCAATGCCCAACGTTGAGATGTTAAATCAATATATTGATTTATCATAGCATAATATGCTAAATGTGATGCAGCGGGGAGTTGGTTATCATGTTGGATTTCTACACGAGAGGTCTGCGGTTTGAACCTCCATGATGTTAACTTTTTTCTTTTTGTCAAATGTCATAAAAAATGGTTTTTCTTTTTCACAAAAAAAATGTGTTTTACTCTTGTGTTTTATTTTTGTCTTAAATAATATCATAAAAAATAATATCAAGGAAGAAAATAATGTCATAAAAAAAAAATAAAGTGGAAGAAAATAATGTCATAAAAAAAAGGAAAAAAAGCGTTCTATTTTTATCTTCTAAAAAAAATATAAGGCAAAAACTATTATCATCAAAAAAATAAAAGGAAAAAAAATAATATAAATGAAGAAAATAATGTCATGAAAAAAAATAAAGAAGAAGAAAATAATGTCATAAAAAAAAAAGAAAAAAGAGCGTTTTATTTTTATCTACCAAAAAAAATAAAAGGAAAATAATAACATCATCAAAAAAATAAAAAGAAAAAATTGAAATAAAAGATAATACAACAAGCATTTCTGGTCAAAAAACAATTTATCTTCTAAAGGAAATAAAAAGAAGAAAATAATGACATCAAAAAAATAAAAGGAAAAAATAAAATAAAAGATAATATATTAATTCGAGATTTTAGTGGCTATTCTTTCATCGATTTAATCCATTTTTTATTGTAGTTCATGTATGATTATATATTTTATCAATGATGATTCTATGATTTTTCTTTTCTGTAATGCAAATTTAATGGTTAACATAAGTTCAAATAGGGAAAGAACATCTCGATATTCGCAAATTGATGAAAAAAAATGAAATGATAATGTAGTACCCCTATTTCTTATTGAATTCTTAAAAACATTTATAATAAATTTTAATAAATTTTTCGGATTTTTTTAAGGTTTAATCCGACTGTTTCCCGATCCGGATCGGCGATTCACCGATCTGGGTGAGTTTTTGAGATGCCCAATCCAGGTCAGCGAACCGTTTTTTAAACCGCTGGTTTTGGATATTTACTCGGTTATGGACGTCATATGTCACTTTAAAACTTCAAATGCATTATAAGAGCTCTGTTTAAGGTTATTCTCTCTCTTGGTTATGTATGCTTGTGCATTTTTTTAACTTTTAAGGTTTTTGGAATAGTGGATTAACTTCTTTATCAGATTTCATAGGTTTTCTTTGTTATCTATTTGTAATTTTGCATATTTTTCCTCAAATTTTTTATTTTTGCATATTTTTGTCCTCAACTTCTATTTTGAAGTAATGGTTAATTTGGTCCAACTTTTAGATGAGAAGATTTTGTTTGTTCTGGATGCTTGAATTTGAGTTATTGCTTTCTTTAGAAGATAAGTGTTTGCGAAAATTATAATTTCCTAGCAACCTCGCATTTGTGCATAGAACCCCAGACTTGAACTTGGGCCTCCTACAAGGTAGCACGGCTTATCTCAAGAGTTTTTGGCCTCCTGAACTCGAAACTTAGTTTGAATAATTGAGGGAGTCATGTAGAGATTCAAAAGTCACTGTAGTACTCAACATGAGTTTTAATAGGACTTAGTAAGTCCTTAGATGCATGGACTCTCTGCAATTTTTAGGGCTCTTTCAATCGAAAATTGGAAGTCATCCCCCCTGCTTCCCATTGGGCACCCCTTTTGACTTATCTTGGCCTGTTTTTGGGGTAGAGAGGCATTCGTCCTTTCTCTAACCTAAAACCTTTGCAGTGGAAAGTTGCCACCTGAGCTGATTCAAGTGTTTAAAATCCAATCCATGTGGCAAAAGTTTTCTTAGGCATGAATTTTATCACGCTTCTCATTTCGTATTCATTGGCATTCTGGCATAGCCTTAAATGTATTGTCAACCTAGGCCCCTCTCCCCCCTCTCCCTTCTCTCTCTCCCCCACCTTTGAGGGATCAGAACCTAGATCTGATATCCACAAATACAAGATTTATTTATTTTTGTGTATCTTTTGTCTACATTTTCTTCTTTTGTTGGGTTAGCTCAGTTTTTGAGCATTAACCTGGCTATCAGATGTCAACTGGGATGGTGGAGGTGATGCTCGAAAGCTGAATGAAGCAAATCATGCAATTCATTTCTGCGTGGTCATTATTTCTCGTTACTGAATTTGTGCAGTTTATTTACTAGAAAATGTATTAAATTCTTTTTGATTCATTTTTTATTCTGGCAATTTGAAGGGATTTGTGTTTAGTGGATCAATGAAATAATGAATTTAGGCTATTAGTTTGGCTTGGTTAAAGGAGAAAAGGAATATCCTGTAGGCAACCTTTTGATTTTTCAGCAAGAGATCCTTAAATGTTTTCTATGTTTGCTTTTTTTTTGTTTTTGTTTTTTTTCGTAGAGTTCATGTTTTTATGTTTTATGTTTTTTGAGGTCTGATTTTCCATCTTTTCTCTGTGTGCAATCCCTGTTTGTGTATGTGTGTATTGAGTGTAGTGTGTATTATTTTTGAATGATCAGGGGCAGCCTTGTACATGTATGGATTGAGTTACCTCCCTAATCATCAGTTTTGACGTTTGAATGGTTGTCGGGTGAAGGCTAGAAGGCTTGATGGTCATGGTGGAGTCCTTTTCGCCATCCCTACCCTCACATCTCTGAAATCTCTAATCTAAGGGTTGGATTTTTTTTTTTCAGGGTCGGAGGTGGAGAGGACACAGAAAACTTTATAGAAAGGATCTCTTACATGTTTTTTATTCAATTTTGTGTCACTTTTGTTTATGTTGGTTTTAAACTATCGTTCTTGCCTTTTGAAAAGAAAATAAATATGTCTTTATTTAATTTCTATTCTATTTTTGTAGATCTTGTATTTTTTTATTGTATTCTTTCTGTTGCGATTTTTTGTGTTGTTTTATTTGTTCATATACCATTTTCTAAGTATTTATATCGATGTTTCTTGTTTTATAACTTTTCTTTAATTACTATTTATCGCTTGCCACTTTCATGTTGTTTTATTGTATTTTTTGTTGTTCTTTTGGCTTTTTATGCTATAATTGTTATTTTCTTAATGCTCTCTTTGTAGGGGACAATTAAAATACAAGTTCTATTACTCTCTCTTTATCTATACTTTTCCTCTCTTTATGTATTGTCATCTCTCTTAGTTTTCCTCTCTTTTTCACTTTTCATCTCTTTCTTTTTCTCCTTCCTTTCTCGCTCTTCTCTCTCTCTCACTCTCTCTTTCTTCCTCTTTCTTTTTCTCACTCTTCCTGGATTTTCGTCTCACTTGCTCTTTCTCTATGTCTATTGTTTTTTTATTTTATTTTAATTTTTTTGTATTTTTGTGCTGGACTGCTGGTAGTGTAAGGATTTTACTTAGTTAGGATTTGAAGCTTATTTGATGGAGATATTAAATGTGGAGTGGACTTGTGTAGTGTTTGCGTTTTTGGGGTGGTAGGGAATCAGGGTTTGCTGGTGATCAAGGGGGATTTGGTCCTCTTTTGTTTACTGATGAGAAGTATAGGTTGAATTTGAGAATATTGAGAATGCTATTATCTATGTAATTAATCTGAACTTTGTTAGTTGGTTTTGTAGTTTTCTTTTCATTTAAGTTTACTTGTCAATGCTTGTAGTTAGTAGAATGATTGAAATTTAAATTACATGAGAAAGAGGTGTCAACTTTAAACAATTGAAGTAAGGCGCGCCTCTAGACCTTGCCAAAGAATGCCATTTTGGTGCCAGAAACCTTTATGATGACATGTTTCGACCCGTAAATATGAAATTTACAGCTCTAAAAATGGTGTAGATCGAGGAGATCTAGAGACACTTGAAAATCTACAAAATGAATGGGCCAAATAATGTGTTACAAAATGTACTACTTTAGGACTTGAAATCCTTTGTTTTCTTTTCCATATCCCTACATCTAGATGTCAATATGATCACATAGAGGGTTTTTCGGCGCCAAAACAACATTTATAGTGGGTTTTGGATGTGTTCCTTCTATTGTATAAGGTTGACACCTTATATAAGCTTTTTTTGTATGAGAAATATTAATCATAAATTATTGTTTAGGGATGGTG